CTGAACTAAGAGAGCCAAGGGCCTTGAGATTTGGAGAGTAGGGTGACCATTCCTCCATGCTAATGAAGTCGGAGCGCGCGTCGGCACCACTCCTGACCGAGCTTGGCTCTGTGAGCTGGAGTACTGAGGTCAATAAAGTGAGGAAAGTCTGTTTAGAATGTACTCAAGATTTTCACTAATGTTCGATGATTGAAAATTACTGGTCAACATTGTAATAAAGTCTGGCAGTTAAAATTTTACAATGATCAACTCCATCAGCGCTCGTCATTCTTTGGTACTGCCAACCCGACTGAATTGTATATGGTCACTTCTCGATACTACGCATTATCCATCAACAACGTTAGAGCGACATTGAGTGAGGCATCACATTCATGATAAATTTTTTTGTTTTGCTCAGAAACATTTCAAAACATTTACAGGCGTGACACTTTGTTGAAGAGAGAGAACTGATCTCTAGATTGCATTGATGCCCAAGCTGGTTCAGACGGTAGTTGGGTAAACATGCATGCAACAAACTTGATAATAAATCACTATTTCATGACCTCATTCAGAGTTTAAAAGGTAATAGGCTCTACCATCAACAAAGCTCGACTCCAAGGAGAAGCAACTATGAACGCTAATCGCACAACTCAACTCTTCATCAAAAATAGGGAATTACGTACTTCATGGTATGAATAACATATTCTGGCGCGAAGATTACGGTGAATAGTGAGATCAGACTTCAGCTTCGATTACTGGTATCTGCCCGTATTGCTATTAGTTGCAGTAGAGCAGGTTAATATGGCCACTTACCACCTTTTGCTGGTAGCAGTAAGCAATATGGCGTAGTTTCATGATTCCTGCCTGCAGGATTAGTCTTACACAGTACCGCGGATGTTTGGAATCTTTAGCAAGATCTTTAGCGAGTTGACAAAAACCCATGACACGTTTCACGATGAGGTAATGATGTCGACACAACACCCTCCCAAACGTACCCAGTCCTACGCATTAGAGGTCTACATCGAATTGGAAGTGCAATCTCAGCATCGCAGCCAAAACATACGAATCCTGCATTCATGAGCGATCCAAGTAGAGATGGAAGAAGTATGGAAAGGGAGGGGATGCCAGAGGGCCTTCCGATTTCGTGCTTCAGAAAATTGGGAGAACTCTGAGATAGGCTTATTCGACAGAATCTTTTATAATTAGGACGAGACATTTACTACATAAGACAGAATCGATCCAGTATTCGCACGATTACTATCAATCAATTTGAGAAGAGATACAGTTGTGCTCCTTTATCACTTAACGAAATGGGCAGACTACCCGAAAGCAGCCGTATACGCAGACATGCATCCCAACTCAATGGATATATAGTGAGTACCAAAAAGAGTCCTCAATAGGTTGTTTTGCTTTATCTTCATCGTTGTGTAAACATTTACAGAAACTAGTCCATCCAAGTCTTGTTAGCGAATTCAACTTTGTGTTATGAAGAAGTAGCACAAACGACTCAATGGAGAGTTCTTTTACTCTTCTCTTCTTCAATTTTGCGACCTCAATGAGACCGAGATTGAATTTCGCAACCAAATACATGAGATTGATCAAATAACTCGATGCAAATGTAGTCCGTAGAATCACAGACGCTCGTACCGCCGACAAACTCAAGCACATGGATATCGCATAGATATGAGCTACTCATTTAGAAATGTACGAAGTATACGCGAAGTATAGCCCTGCTCATAAAGATTCCAGATATAGCACATTATTTCATTTTCTACAGCTTTTCGTCTTTATCCTAACGGAAGAATTAAGTGGCTCGCCACATATCTTCGTCTCACCATCAGATGGCGACTTGTATGGCCTAAAAGCTCGCGCCAACGTTGTTCTACTGTTGGATGGAATTTTGCTTGGAGCTTTCATTATCGTTTTCAATTATATAATATATGTATATAACTTTAACGGCACGTCTGCATGTCCACTCGGCTACGGGCGGGCCCCTCACGTGTTAAAGCCTGTCAAGCTACACTCGAATATTCATATGCCAAAAACAGCAAAAATGGGCCTCATTCCCCTGAAGCTGAGGGGCCCTCCGACATGAACATCGATTCGTGCGAAACCTTGACAACCCGAATCGGACGTTTGCGATTGAGAAGATGTGGCTCAACCCCAATTCTAACAATATTCATTGTTTACGCACCAACATCGAGCTACCACGAGTAAGAGCTGGGGGCGTTCTATATGGATTTGGAGATGCTCTACCGAGAAGACCATACTTTCTCCAAGGTCATCGTCGGTGATTTCAACGCAAGATTGGCATCAGAAGAACGGCTAATGAGCCCCACATCGGAACTCACGAAGTGGAATGGAATGAGTAGGGTGAAAGGCTGTCCGGATGTATCATGTCGACCCACACCATCTATGGTAACTCTTCATTGTTCACACCTCCAGAAGCCCTCTCATTTGCGATGGACACGGGAGTAACCTGGTGGACAGTTCCATAATGAAATAGACCACATCATCTTTAATCGGAGACGGAGATTTTGCCTGACTGACTTGCTGTTGTTCCAGAGTTCTACACGGAATCGGACCATCGCCTCCTCCGCGCTAAGTTCTGCTTCTCAGTGCGTGGAGAGAAAGCTATAAAAACGGAGCCCTAAGACCTCCATCAACTGGAACCACTTCGCTCTCCTTGAGATTGAATGGGGTGATTTCGTTATCACCAACATCGATAAGGAATACAACCGGATCGTCGAACATCTACACGATAGTGCTAGGAAGGCAGAGGGTCTACAAGTAGTCAAGAGAAGATTCTTTCGAAGACTCTCGAGCTGATACGCAAGCGTGGAATCGCGCAAGCTACAGGCAATCATCAGCAAACGTCCGGATTAGCGAAGCTATGCAGAGAAGCGATAAAGGAAGATCCGAAAGAGAGAAGAGCAGCAGTTCTGACTGAAGTCGACGAAGCTGAAAAGAAATTCGCAAGGCTCGCCGGAGCTTCGTCAATTATAAGACCAAGATGACTTCTCTTCGTCGTCCTGACGGTTTCCGATCCCGAAGGGCAATGGAGGTCATTACGACTCCTACACCGATCTTTTCGACAGTCACGTCTACCTGCCTGCCTGCCATCTCAGGCAAAACGGATATGTCGTTCCTTCAGTTCTCCCTTTCCAAAATTCGGCATGCTATCACGTCGATGGGGAATGGTACGGCACTAGGTCCCGACAGAATCGAAGCAGAACTTCTGAAGAGCCGTCCGCCAGTCATTGTCAAAACCCTGGCCCGGCTTTTCTTGCAGTACCTGGCGAAATGCAAAGTGTTTATCCGTGGAAAAACTAGCAAGACCGTGTTGCTGTATAAGGAAGGAGATCCAGACGACATTGACAATTAAAGCCCAACTTGCCTGCTGTCTGCAATCTATATACTCTTCATACGAGTCATCCTTAACAGAATTGGCAGAATATTAGATGAAGGACAGCCATGCGTATAAGCAGGGTTTTGGAGAGGGTTCAGTCAGGTTTTTTTCAGGTTTCACAAGACTCAATGATGTATCGCGGGAGTACAAAATGCCGTCATGTATTACGCTCATCGATTTGAAAAAAGCCCCTGATAACGTTGAGACAGAACGAGGATGCTTTGTGAGCTCTACAACAACCTATGACGACCAGGATCTCGCCATTCTATAAAGAGCCCATCATCAACGTGAAGAGAGAGGTTCGACAGGGCGATACCATCTCGTCCAACCACTTCAGTGCCACTCTCGAGGAATTCATGCGCCATATGATATGGGAAAGCATGGGAGTGAATGTCGACGGCCGCTTCTTTCATCATCTCCTCTTTGCAGATGACATTCTGCTTACAACACCCAACATCGAGCAGGCGGAACAAATGCTGGGCGAAATCGACAACGCTAGTGGAGAGATCGGATCACAACTGAACCTTACGAACACGAAGTAATGCGAAACGGATTGGTAACGGTGAACGGAAGAAATATCACCGAATGCTGCGGCTATTGTATCTAGGTCGGGAAGTCAGCACGATGAAAGACCTAGCTCCGGAGTTGAGCGGACGGAAACGCGCGGCGTGGAGCATATAAAGGGAGTTGTAAAAAATACGAAGAACATCTGGCTCCGCGCTCACCTTTTCGATACTGCGGTCCTTCCTGCTTTGACATACGCCTCAGAGACTTGGACTCTACAGAAGCAGGATGAGGATGCACTTATACGTACCGTCATTTAACGCGCCGTGGAAAAGACGATGCTCGGAATTCTCCTATAAACGCGAGTGCAGGAGAGAATTCGAAGTTCCGAGCTCCGTCGACAAACGAATACCAGGGAGCCGTTAGATACGCCAAAAAATCGAAAATCAGATGGGCCGGGCACGTCATGTCATATAGTGATGACCGTTGGACTAGGGCGGTTACAGACTGGATCCCTCGGGACGACAAACGAACACCAGGACGACCACCGGCTTGATGGTCAGACTTCTTCACGAAAGCTTTGAACAGAAGAAATGTTTTGTCCCGTGTCCCTCGAGCGAGTACAATTCACTGGAACTACTCTTCTTACTCGCGACAGGGACGAGTGGAGACGTTACTGGTGATCGCTCGAGGAGGCGATCAACGAGATGACAGGTGATACACTTGATTCTAACGAAAATTGATGGCTGATATGCAGGTAGTTGAAGTGCTACCGAAGAGCATAACTGCATCGTAAACCTACTCTACAAGTGAAACTTCATTCATAATATTTGGAAGGCCCGTAAGGCATCATATTTGAGGAGAGGGGGATCGTGATTAATCTGTTAATCTCCTTATTAGAATCCGAACACTTTCCGCTAGAGAATTGTTGACTCATTTCATCTATTTTTTAGACTTTTGCTTATTCTTCTGATTATAAAGTTAATTCAAGCCAATAGTTTTGCACTCAGACCATTTGCTTCTAGTGTTAATGAATATAACACTGCCTCGAGAGGGGTATTAGAAAAGTCTTTTTATGATGATGTGTAGTGGGTAACGCCGGTTGTGGCGTTTTTACCTGCGGGTACCCCATGTCCTCGGGCTAAGCCGTTGACAAGTAGTATAGTCGGGGCACTTGACACTGCCGAATAGGGCATGCCCAAATATAAAATGTATGAATTAGATCGGCCTCAACTATTTTGAGAGGTATGATAGTGGATAAGGTCTTTGGGCGGTAATTACTCCCGCCTGAGGGGTGCGTCGACTTCAATGAAAGGCTTGGTTGGTCTAGGCGGATATCCATTCGGGATTCGAACCCATGACAATGCGTGCGTTATAGGGCACCACTTGCCATAACACCACCTCCGCCCTATATTATATACCACTTGGCCTGCGCACGATACCTCTATAACACACGCGTTTCATGGCTTCTGATCAATGAATTTCAAAAAAAAAAGGAAGCGCAAATGCGTCAGCATTATAGTGTACCGCCCTATTCCAAGAGAAATAGAGAGCCGTTAGATCCCAACTATTAGCGTCATAAGCAGTCTATAGAGAGCTCACATATCTAGAAAACTGTACATTACGACCATCCACATTCGTTTGTGCATCCCTATATAACCAAGACATTCAAAAGTTCAAGATCTGGACTTGGAATCATTTACTTATTTGTTTACCAACTTGCTACTGCGGCATACCTGTACTTCACGTGAGATGAAATAGGATTTTAGTTGCGCTCCTTTGTTTACCCTCACCCGTCAAAGTAGGGATGTGGTAGCATACCAATCGACGATCGTGGCCAAAATAATGTTTGATGAAATTTTACGCAAAAATCATGATAAGCATGTAAGCGCAGAGGTTCCACACAAATTTTTAAGTTGTAAAGACATACAGTAACGCTCAAAAGTGTTCGGCCAAATGCTTCTTCAGTCGTACTTTTCAGTCGTAACTCCTTTCCTACTGCATCTGATCACGAGAGACTCCAATATGTGTAGCATGGGTGTAGTGTGAATATTTACCACTATTGTCCGGCAATCTGATCATGTTCCAAATATTCCAAAGAACTTGAAATCAAAACCAACGGGAAATACGGTTTCTTGGATTTCTTCCTTTTCGCCATGTCCAAAGTGTACGAGCGTTAATGCCGAACACAACAGAGGAGAAAAACGCATGCAAAAACGCAAACGCATAAGATGCAAATAACTGCAGACGTCACAAACTTGCTTTCAGCATAGTCTATGAACGCCTTCCCCTTAGTTATGTGGACACTGCTGCTTTGCAGCCAAATAGCGTTGGATAGTGTAGAATATGCTTCAAAATAACATATAAAAATTTCATGCGATTTGCTCTACTGAGAAAAAAGGTACGGCCGAAAAAACTTGGCCGAATACTTTGGAGCGCTACTGTAAGTATTCTGCATTGATAAGGCAAGTGGGCGAAGAAATTTTCACCTGGCTTAACAATGGAGCTCTCCACAAATAGTTAAGTGGAATTTGTAAAAGACGGTAGGATCGCCCGAATGGCGCATGGATCTTCCTTCTTATTTTGAGTTTGAATGCCTCATCAGTCCCCGTTTCTCTTGGGAAAAAGAGTGGTTAGCAGTATCCCTACATCGAGTAGTACAATGCTACACTGGTCAAAATCGGTTGGCTGCTAAAATCGGTCGCTACTTTTACAGCAATAGCACCGCAACTCCCCAAATTCCTCAGACTCATTTCAACTATTATCGATTTTACGAATCAAAACGGCTATCACCATTGCTAACACAACTGCTAAAATAACACGATAAAATATAAAAATCAAAATCATACCATCATAACATGAGCTTTGAAGACTATATAAATAGCTTGACCAGAGACTTATCCGGACATTTTTTTGCAATATCTCAAAAAATTGAAGGAAGCTCACCCCCTGTTACTTAGTTGCAGGCGAGCAGGAGGAGATTGCGCTCGCTACACTGTAATAAGTTTTGTGTTAGTCCAAAAGTACTTCGGTTTCCTCACTTTACAGCGCGGCACATTATTACTTCGGTTTCCTCACTTTACAGCGCGGCACATTATAAGTATGTCCACATGAGCTTTTTTCCCTTTCAACTTTCTCTCAGATTTCGGGATGCAACGAAATTCCTAATTCATAGAATTGATATTAGTTAAGCTGAGTCTGGCAAAGCAGTCAGCCTTCAACCAATTAGGTGTTCTTTACAGCATGTTGCAGCACGTATGTTACGTTTATGCAGTTCCGGCAAACTAAGAGCACAAACAGCCTCGCTTGCTGCTTCTTATTTTTCACTTTGGAACGAGCTTTTGATTTTGGCCGATGGGAGGCACCACAACCTCTTGTGTGTATTTTTGCATGCATGTTTTCCATCACGAACAATGGCGAAGTTTATCTGATTCCACGTTCGTTCACATTAATTAGCTTACGCACAAATTATAATTGTATTACAATATCAGGTTGGTAAAAAGTTTTACAGAAGTTTCGGAATGGACAATCTTGGGGTTGGAGTCCCTCTATAGAAATTTCGGAATGTGACAATCTTGTTTAAACAGAGTGAATAGGTTGGTCAGGATGGTGAACTATTGAAATGCCATCGAAACTACAAATACATGAGTATAGTGAGGAGACCCACGGGAGCTTATCAAAAATCCCAGCATCAACTTTGCACCATTACTTTTACGAGAAGAGTCAACGGAAAAACACGATTGCAGCAGTTGACACCATTGAGAAAATACTGGGCGAGGGCCCTGGTCACCACTCAACTGTCAATAATTGGTACGACCGCTTCGCTGCAGGAGATACCAGCCTTGAAAATAACGAATGCAGTGGACGGCCCTGTACCATCGCTAACGACGAACTACTAGGAGCTACCACCACGGCAAAGCCGGAAGCCATTCCGTATGAGTTGGCAGTAAATCTTGAGTGCTCCTAGGCCACCACTAAACACCGTCTCCATCTCCACAAATTTCAAAAAGCAATGTTAAGTTGTATCTCCCACAGACTGACCCATACCCAGAAGCCGGTGCATAACAACATCTGTGAATCATTGACTTTCAGCTAAATCGTAGAACCTTCTTGCGGTTGTGGTAAACTGTGATAAAAGCTGGATATTGTAAAATGACAATGAACAAGTTGCCGTTTGGCTTGCTCACGGCATCGAGCCACCAACTCAGCCATAAATGAAACCCTCAGCGGCACAAACATCTTCTATCATTTTGGAAGGATATGAACGGGCTTGTTTACTACGAGTCACGCTGGCAAGACTGTCACCGTTGCCATATACATAAATCAGCCCCAGCATTTGACCGATGCTATTCGTGGAAACGTTTAAGGCTGTCGAGGGTGTACCTACTAATGCACGACAACGCGCGTCCACATGTCGCATCCAAGTTTTTTGAGAACTAGCTGAGCCCATCTGAATCCAGTTGCTCGCCAACTGTGCTCACTCCAGATCTTGCACTTTGCACCTCAAGCAATACTTGGAAGAAAGATCAAAACTTACTATCTGAAGAAGATACACAATGACTTTTTCGAGCCACAGTGTCCCGACTTCTGAGGAAAAAGCATCAGCGATCCGCCCAAAAGATGGAAATTTATAGTTTTTTGTGAGGAACGTATTTTTGATATTTAACTTCTTTGGAGATTTTTTCATAACTGGATGAGTAAAATTACCTTTCTGTACAGGAACTTTTTTGCCAGCTCAATATTGACCGATTATAGTGCGAAGGATAAGTAATGCAACAATGACCTCAACCTACACTTCTTCGCTTTTTCACTTCGTTTTTTCATCTTTGTCGATCACTTCTGTTCTGCAATTTCTGAGCGCTGTTATTTTGAAATTGAAAAGACAGCCGACACCCTCATACGAAACCATCAAGAAAGAGAAACCATTGAACATGCATAGTGAAAAGAGCTAGCAGAGTGAGTCTTGATTTGACTAATCACTCCACACTAACAAGAAGCGTCAAAGTATGCACTCACTCCATGGCATAACTACAGAACT